ATTCCAGAGGCTACTATAAATGTTGTGTGCTAGCTAAGTGCAGGGGGGTCGCTCCACACCCAGTCCCCTTTTAAGAAGTTTTAAAATGACTCACGCGACATCATCAGGTGGAATAGGTAACTGATTCATTTCGCCATCATGGATCTCGTCGAAAAGGATCGGGTTCATTTTTTCGATAAGAGCCAAGTAAGACGGTGGCATCTCAATTCCCTGTCTTCGTGGGACGAAAAGTGACGGCCCCGACTGCCTGCGAACGGCCGCATCCCGACCGTAACGTCGTGCGTATACCCTTCTTGTCGAAGCGTCTAACTTTGCCCGAACCTCGTCCATTATCAGTTGACGTTGAATGATTTCTGAAAGATTCTCACTAGATTCCCTGTCATCCATGCAATGAAATCCTGGCTGTAAGTCGATGATCGCTTGTATTTTTCTCAATAAACTCCTGCTCCCATGATGTGGCATCCATTCGACGTCGTCCAGCGAGAAACTGTCTTGGCTCATGGTTGAGACCGATTGCGAGGCTCTAGACGTTCCTTCGATCGACTCGCCATTAAGAAAGCTACTAGTATTTGGCAGAGAGTTCTTCATTATCAAGTCGAGTAAGTCTCCAAGATCTTCGTCCGTATGGCTGTCCCACATGAGCTCTGAGTCGATTGTGGGGAGACTGGTTTCCATTCCTCGAGGTGAAGCTACAGAATTGAACCCTACCCCTGCGAGTCCCTTTTATTTGCCCTGATGTCGATATCACTAATACGAGGGGTTATCGCAGCTGATCAAAAGTGATTTTCTACTCTGTTCTACTTAGTGATTTTTTTTGGAGCATAGCTATCCAGTAATGTTGTGTACCACAACTGAAAAGGTTCTTCGCTCCGAAGCTTACTTCCTCTCTTTCGCGTTGGCGGTGTTGACCAATGAACTGACGTGATCTGGCCCTTCTTCTCACATGAATCTGAAGCCACACTGCCTCTGATGGAACCCATTGTATTTGAGTTGTATACAGAGGCCAGAGGAATTATCATTTCCTTAGCTGTACGGTTTAAATGCTTTGCGAGGCATCTTTCACTGCCGTCATGACTATCCCCTAATATGAGTAGTGAGTGTCCTTTTATAGTATTTCTGTGGAAACTTCTTCCTTTAACTGGCGTTAACTCCTCGTCGTCGCAGGATCGGCTGTTGTCAGCGCATCCACTCTATTTCATTTAAGACATCTTCAGTCGTCGCCTTAGTTTCGGTCACTCCCTCTTTACGTCAAATCACATCTTCTTTGATACACTTCGCCGTCGCTTCCCTTGATCTTCCAATCCATGTCTTCCTTCGGCTATTCGCATAAGCACCCATTGGCATCTTCGTCTCTGATCTAGACCAGTCACGTCCAAGCGCAAACCATGTGAGCATCCCGATTTGGGTGGAGTGATGCTGTCTTTGGGTGCATTTTGACCCCACCGACGTGCAATCCACATACCGACCGACCCACCGACGGCGTTACTGGCCACGTGTTAAAAACACAGTACCGATTGTGTTGAGGGGCCACTTGAGTCGTGAGGGCGCGTGATCCATGCATTAGTGCCAAGCGTTTTCGACACGTAGCGTGGAACCACACTGGTTGGTCGGTGGGTCAGTGGAAATGGACGTCAGTGGAGTCTTAATGCACAATTTCATCATTTTTACCTACGGGCCAACACTCGCTCCAATAGAGCATTGTGAGCCTCCTCAGTGTATGCTTCACCTCTTCTTGAAGAGTCCTGGAACAGCGTCGGTAGCACAGCAAACCAGTGGACTCACTACACTCCATCCATGACGCGTTTATTCGA